CATCAGTCATATTGGAGTAAGGGCTACCCTAATGCCCTTGGGAATTCTTTTAATTAAAACTTTTAGAAAGAGATGGAGCAGTTGAATTTTCAAGGTAATGGAAGAACTTTTTCTATGACCATGGAAGATAAACAAGTTTTCAATGTGATGAATCCCATGGTCATGGGTCAATTATGGATTAGCTGATCTACCAATTAGAAGAACTATCCTATTAAAGGCACTCTATAAACACCTATGCCTACCTTCCTTCTTTTCCTGTTAGACCTCGATTAATTACCACTCTGGAAATGGAACTACAGTTTACCTGGGAACTCTCAAAATAAGACATTAGCCTGTACAAACAATAAATTCATTTTAGCACCATTGAGAATTTCTTTGAATGAATCCTTGAGCTATTTTTAGAAACTATTTTAGCATTTCAAGTTCAAAAGGATGTGAAAGATATCTATTCCACCAAAACATTAAGAATACACATTTTTCTCAGAAGCCGATGGAACTTTCTCATAAATTGACCACAAATTAGGACACAAAGCAAGCCTCAACAAATATAGCAAAATTGAAAGAGCATCCTGATTTCTATCCAACTGGAACTGAATAAAGCTGGATATCAACAGCAACAGAAAATACACAAACTTATGGAAATTAAACATCACACAATTGAATGAAAATTGGGTCAATGGAGAAGTCAAAACGAAAATTTAAAATTTCTTAGAACTGAATGAAAATGAAAACACACCATAGTTCGAGTGCACAGTGAAGGCATTCCTAAGATGAAAGTTGATAGTAATAGTCCTATTATTCTTCTCTCTGTTTCCTTCTTTCCCTTTACCTCCCTGGTTCCCTTCCATATTCCTGGTTCCTGCAGTTACATCAGGATATGCACTCATTTATAAATATTTGGTGTTAGGATTCACAAATCAGGGAGAACATACGCCTTTTGTTTTTCTGAGTATGTGTCATTTCACTTAGATAACAGTTTCGAGATCCATCTATTTACCTGCAAATTTCATTATTTCATCTTTCTTTGCTGCTGAGTAGAACTCCATTGTGTAAATGTACCACATTTTCATTATTCACTCATCAGTTGAGGGACAATTAGGTTGCTTTCATCTCTTAGCTATTGTGAAAGAATAGCAACAAACATGGTTATACAAGTGTCTCTGCAATAGGATGAGTCCTTTGGGTATATGCCAAGGAGTGGTACAACTGGGTCAAATGGTAATTTCATTTTTAGTTTCTTAAGCATTCTCCACACTGCTTTCCATAGGGGTTGCATGAGTTTGCAATCCCACCAGCAGTGAATAAGCATTCCCCTTTCTCCACGTCCTCACCAGCATTTGGTATCATTTTTTTTTCTCTTTATCTTAGCCAGTCTGACTGGGGTAAGGTGGAATATTAAGGTGGCTTTAATTTGCATTAGCCTAATTACTAATGATGTTGAACACTTTTAAAGATATTTCTTAGTCATCTTTATTTCTTCTTTTGAGAACTCTCTGATTATATCTTTAGCCCATCTTTTAATTGCATCATTTGGTTTCTTGATTTTTTGTTTTTTGAGATCTTTATATATTCTGGATGTTAAACCTCTGTCAGATGTGTGACTAGTGAAGATTCTTTCTCACTCTGGGTTTTCTCTTCATTTTCTTGATTGTTTCTTTTGCTGTACAGAAGATTTTTAGTACAATGAGGTTTTACTTGTTGATTATTGACTTTAATTCCCGAGCAACTGGTGTCTGATTTAGAAAGTCCTTTCCTATGCCTATATCTTGTAAGTTACTGCTAATGTTTTCTTCTAATAGTTTCAGAGTTTTGAGTTTCATATTGAGATCTTTGGTTCATTTGGAGTTGACGTTTGTGCAAAGTTAAAGATCAGGATCTAGTTTCATTCTTCTACAGGTGGAGATCCAGTTTTGCCAGCACCATTTGTTGTACGCTTTGAGATCTGGTATAGTAATCTCCTAGCATTGTTCTTTGTGCTCAGGGTTGTTTTGGTTGTCACAGTCTTTTGTGCTTCCATACAAATTTAAGGATTTTTTTTTCTTGTTCTATGAAGTATGCCATGAAAGGTGTTACTAAGGGAGAAATGTGCAAAAAGAGGGTCGTTAAAGGGGAAGGCGGGAAGGAGGGCTATACAAAGAACTATAGGAATAAAGGGGAAAAATTCTCCCAGTACACAGTAGAAAAAAAAAAAAAGCCTTAAGCACAGAAGGAACCCTACAGGGATGGAAAGTCCTACCAGAAGCCATATGGTTATTAAATAAAAATCCTAGTGCCAGAACATGAGCTGTTGTCCAAAGGGCCCCTAGAGGTCCCCAAAACAATAAAGGCCATTGCCAATAATGTTGATTGTATACCAGAAGTGAACGGTAAAACCCTATTGCTGAAGACACAGCATGATGTGAGCACAGGAGATGGAGAAATCACACTTGGACTAAGCTGGAAATTCTCTGCCACTGAATGAGTGGCTTTTATAGTGCCAGAAGGCAACATGCAGATGGCTGGGGGAGAACTATCCCCTAAATTCTGCTCAACAATGGATCCTTCATGCAGCACTATCAACATGCCAAACAAGATGTTCCAACAGGCACAATAGCATCTAGTGTATGTACAACCAGGAAATTTTTGATTGGATATAATGCCTGCTCCTAGAGGTGGAACACACATCTAGTACTGTAGACCAGGCCAAGCATTTGTGGCAGAGGAGGATATAGGCCCCAGTTGGGAAGCCAGTGCAATTGTTTTGTTAGATAGATGTGATGTGCCTGCTAAAGTACCTCCAAGCATTTGTGTTTATGCCCAGAGGTTAAGTTATTGTAGTAGGCAGTGTTTAGATGTTCTTGCTTCTTTCTGTTTGTGTTTTTAAAGTAGATGGAATCCCACTGAAATGAGCCAACAGCCCATGGAAAACAGATGATGCAGAGACCTGAAAGTTCAGTGCCTTGCCACAATGGGGGGAAGATCATCCTACACCTATCACCCACTCCAAGGCTCAGGGACTTTTGTGGACAGGTTGGCAGAAACAATGTAAGAGCTGGAGGAAGGGGTGGAGTGTTACCTGGAAGTGTCCTCTGAACATTATGTTGGCAAGCTGTAGTCACACCTCCTTCCCACCTGTAGGAGGTGAAGTGCCAGACCTAAACACAGACCACACTAGAGAGCACAGCTTCCTCCTTGAGAGCACAGCCTGCACTTCCGCAAAAGAGGCAACATATAATCTTCCCCAGACCTAGAGACTGATGACGCGAGCGGCCTGGATGAGGGGATCTATCAGGGAGCGACACACCAGCTTATGGGACACTGGGGGCAGGAGGAGAGATATAGAAAACCTGCCCTTCCCAGCAATAAACGAGTCTGCAGCACCTCACCTAGTGCCTGCTTCCACCCGACTCCCGGTGTCTGTTTATTGTCTCCACACCACTCACCCCCACCTCGGTCAGAACCCTCAAACCCTGCATTCCCTCGTGGGCAGGACCCGTGAGAGAACATGCAATAGCTGGCACCCAAACAGGGTTCTCGTCCCCCTGGCATTGGTGACGCCCCCTACTTTGGTTCGTTCGGTGAGTAGGCCTCGGGTTTTTTCTGTCCCTTCAGCTGCCCAAAGGTGAGTAAGTGGCCTCCTTCTCTGTCCCCTCTACCCTGTTTGTCATATTTGTTGTTAAATCAGGAAGGCACACTCTGCCGCGTGGTTCCGAATCCTATGTGACACCTTTTATTACTTGGCTTGTCCCAGTGAGTTAACGTAAGGGCTGATCCATCCCAAACTCAGAGGCCAGGCTTTGGGTCATTCTGTTGCCTGTCCCGGAGACACTGTGTGAGCATACAGCAAGGGTGTCACGGCTCTTGGAAGTCCCTCACTAAGCACAAGACATTTGGATCCAATACACCTCTTCATGTCGGGGTGGGTTATGTCCGAGTGGCCCACGGTCCTTGTTTGCTTCATTTGTGTCCTCTTGGTAGTCACCCTTTCCTTTTACTTTTGTGGCGAGTTTCCCTTCACGGGACCTTCCCATGATGGGCAACCTACCACCACAGTGCAAGGAGCCACAAATGGCATCGCTCAAATCGCTCCTTAGAACTCAGGTACTGAAAGTTAAACCAAAAGATATTGAAAATTTCTGAGATGAGGCCACTAATTTGGCCCCTTGGGTCTCTCCTGAGATTATGTGGGATCCTGACCTCTGGATGTGGGTCCTTTTCTTGGCCCAAAAAAGGGAAGTAGGGTCTGGAGTCATTCCCCCACCTCGTTTGCCCCGATCCTTTTTGCCATCATTGCCAGCCTTAAATCCTCCCCTGAAGAAGTTATTTCAGCCCACAATAAGCATTGCCAGTGTAGACCTTGCCATTACTTCAACCCATGCTGACTTTGATATGGGAACAAGCCTTGAGGTCAATCCAGATGAGGAAGGGGCCCCCTCGCCCCTTACTCAGACCCTGCTTTCAAAGCCACAACAATCAGAGACACCACCACTCCAGTACCCCTGGAAGGAACTATGTTCTGCCTGCTCCAATGTACCTCCCACTCATTATATACCCCCCATGGCCCATCCACCCCTTACTGCCCCTTGCCGGCCCATGTCTACCTTTTTGGTTAATGTCGGCCCCAACACTGCTCAACAGCCATGGGTGCCCACCCCCTCACAGACCTTGCACTCCTCTGCAAAGCTGCCAATGAATGAGGCCCCGATTCCCCATATTTTGAACAAGATCTCCACCGATGGGCCATGCAGTTACAGACCCATTATGATTGGTATAACTTATTAAAGGCTGTATTGGAGCCCTCAGTCTTCCTGAGCTGGCGTTTGGCCTACAACGATCAGGCTGAAAATCAGGCACCTCTCAACCTTCAATATGGCCTTAATATTACTCTGGATATGCTCACAGGACGTGGAAAATATATTGACCCCACTTCCCAGTCCACTATTGGCCTTCATGCTTACTACCAACAAGTTAGTGACCTGGCCTTCAAGGCCCTTAAATGTTGCTCCCCCCATGACCCACAGACATTCTTCCGCAAACTGATTCAGCAGCCAGGGGAGTCCTTCACGGACTTTCTCGCCCAAGTTACTGGAGTGGTAGAATGGAGAGAGGAATCTGGGACCACTCAAGATATGCTTGTCAAATACTTGGCATGGGAAGGCCTAAATACTCCTACCCGCAGTGCTATCGCACCTGTCTGTAATGATGATATTCATAAATGGGTACTCGCCACTAGAGGCCTAGACCCCAAGACAGGGCCCATCAAGGCCCTGGCTGTCTCCTTAGAGGTACTCTTATTACAAGGAAGGCCCACCTCCTCCGATGAAAAATATGGCTGCTGGAACTGCGGGAGGACAGGACACCTCTGCAGGGACTGCCTGAACAATGGAGCTCATCCCAAGACCTGCTGCCCTAAATGCAAAAAGGGATTTCATTGGGCAAAAATTTGTAGGTCATGGCCCCAATCAGAGTCAGCTCCTTTAAACTCCACCCGGGGTGCCCCTCAGCCCCACAAGAGGGGGAATGAGACAGGTTTTATGGACCCTTCTGATTCTTAATCACTCACCCCTAATGACCTTATTCCTGGATGGGATCACTGTGAAGGGTCTAGTGGACACAGGGGCCGATGTTACCATCATTACCGAGAACACGTCTCTTCGGTTCTCCCATTGGAAATATCGGCCTGGCCTGCCCATTAAGGGAGTGGGTGGCAGCCAGGACACAAATTTGGTCGTCCGCCCAGTACACTGGAAGGACTTAGATGGGAGTAAGGGCACATTCACTCCCATAGTGGCTGATGTCCCCTGCAAGTTGTGGGGTTGAGATGTCCTGGAGGACATGTGTGTGATCCTTACCACAGACGATCAGGCCTTTTATGATGACGTCATAGCCCATGATAACCTTGACCTCTCTGGGAGAAGTTGGAGACCTGACCAGCACCCCCAATTCTAAGGGCCACTGCCCTCCCTGGGACATCCCCTAAGGAGTCTCCCACACTGATCACTCTTACCTGGCTCTCAACAGATGAAATCTGGGTGGAGCAGTGGCCTATTATAGAACTTAAGTTTTCTATCCTCAAAAATTTGGTCCAGGAACAGCTGGACTTTGGACATTTGGAACCATCCACTAGTAAATATAATACCCCAATATTCATTATTTAAAAAATGGCTGTTTTTAGATTGCTTCAGGACTTATGTGCCATTAATGACCAAATGGAAAAAATGGGCTCGACACAGGCCGGCTTGCCCCACCCTGGCTCTATTCCTCCTTTTTATTATATCATAACACTTGATATTAAAGATTGCTTCTTCTCAATCCTGCTGGCCCCCCAAGATCACGATAAGTTTGCCTTTACAGTTTGGGAACCAAACTTCCACAAGCCGGCCTTCAGATATCAATGGAAAGTCCTTCCCCAGGGAATGAAGAATAGTCCTACTATCTGTCAGCTTTTTGTTTCATGAGCCACTTCAGCCATCCCTCATAGTGTACAATTTATTCACTATATGGATGATATTCTGTTGTCCCAACCTAACCCACAATTCCTCTGCAAGGTAACCAGAGACTTACTCTCCCACCTATTGTCCCTTGGCTTGTCTATCACCTTAGATAAGTTACAGGATGTTCCTCCTTATACCTTTTTGGGGAATACCATTTCAGTCAGTGTATGCCCTATGGCCCCTGCCTTTAATTCAAAGCTGATCTATACACTAGCCTATTTTCAACAACTCTGTGGTACCATAAATTGGCTTAAACTGTCCTTGCCCATACTCTCGGAGGAATTGAAGGCACTGTCTTCACTTTTGGAGTGCCCCAACTGCCCTTCAGCAAAGGTTAACTTGACTCCCCTGCCAGTGCCTTATTGCAAAAGATCATTGAGTTACTCTCGTCAACAACCCTCGACAGGTATGAGCCCTTACAATCCCTACAAGCTTTAGTGCTGTTGACTTCTTCTGGCTTCCTTGGTGCCCTTTGGCAGAGTGGGCCACTTATCTGGCTCCATCTCTCATACTCGGAGCTCCAGCAGATTTTCTCCGAGTTTGATCTGGCCTTTAACTTGGCAGTCAAACTGTGCACTCAAGCTCGAAAAACCTTCAAGAGAGAACCCGAAGCTATTGTGCTCCCCTTTCCCCTCCATAACCTACAGGCCATCTGGGCCAAATCCATAAGTTTTCTGACTATGATGTCAGGTTTCCCAGGTAGCATTGACAATCACCTGCCCCAAGACAAAAGAATTCAGGCCCTTCTCACATTGCCATTTTCAGTTAAGCCATACAGCACCCCTTCCTCTTCCCCAATTCCCCAAGTGACCATTGCCTTTTTGGACACTAATAAGAACTTTGGGGTCCTGGTACATCATCCTGGCAAAAAGGACATCACCCACATCATCCCTAATCCTGGCTCTGTCCAGTTGGGAGAACTTCTTGCTACACTTAAAGCTTTAGCAGAGTTCCAGGACAAACCCCTAAATCTCTTTTCTGATAGTGCCTATGCTGTTCAGGTCACTAAGGTCATGCCTTTTCTCATGTTAAAAACTCCTCAACCCCACTCCACCTCACTATGGTCAAGCTACAGGAAAGCCTAGAAAATAGATGTCACCCATGGTACATCTCACATATTCGCTCACATTCTACCCTTCCCAGAATCCTAGCTCAGGGAAATGCTGCCACAGATGCCATGATCATGACAGTCCAGTCTGACCTGTTAGAACAAGAAAGAGCTTTACATCAACAATTCCACCTGTCCCCTCAGAGTATTTATAAACTCCTCCCAGAAATCCCCATGTCCCAATGCAAGCACCTTGTCAGTTCATGTGCTACCTCTGCCCCACTAATGCCTCTTGGGTCCCTTAACAAGGGAGGAGTTAACCCCCCGTGGTTTGATACCCAATGCCATTTGGCAGATGGACGTGACTCACAACCCCCCTTTTGGGAAATTGAGATTTGTTCATGTTATAGTTGACACATGCTCCTCCCTTACTTATGCTTTAGCTATCTCAGGGAAAAAGACTATAAATGCCATTAAAGCTATAAAGTCCACCATGTTAATCATGGGTGTACCCTGGGTGCTTAAGACTGATAATGGGCCCACTTATTCCTCTCAAGAATTCAATAAATTTGTTCCCTCCTGGGGAATCAAACTTACCTTTGGCATTCCCTATAAACCGCAAGGACAGGCCATTGTTGAAAGGACTAACAGGACACTTAAATCCCTCCTGGCTAAAAGCCCCTCAGCTGAGGCCAAATGTGACCCTCACCTGGATCTTACTGAGGCTTTGTTCCACTTTAATTTCCTCATGTTTGATGACCGGGGTCTCAGTCCAGCATACAAACATTGGTCCTCCTCGCCTCGGGCTATGCCTCTGCCACTAGTTAGATGGAGGGATCCTATTTCATCCCTATGGCAGAAACCAGCCCCCGTCCTGACACGAGGACAAGGATACACTTGTATTTTTCCACAGGACGCTATGGCCCCCATCTGGATTTCATCGAGAGACATCTGACTAGCTACGGACACCCATCTGGAGACCAGGCCCAACTGTGAGTTTGATAAGCCATGACATCCATTTCCCGCTTCATTATCCTTGGCACCCTTTTGTCCTTTGGCTGTCCTCCCCAAGCTTCAGATCTCTGGGCACTGGTCCCCTTACCACCTCTGATCCTCCCTGCAGATGAACAGTCACCCCTTTTCCTGGTTCTCTTTACTACTAATGAATCCCTCGGTCTCCCCACCATGGAATTGGTTGATGTGTCCATTCCCATAAATGGCACACGGTCCCTTGCAGGATCGCTCTGCTTCAGCTCAGCCCTTAACCCCTCCTCCCCTAATGCCTCTCGCTGTCACTCCCTCTTTAACATCACAACAGACGACTTTCATGGAAACCAGAGCCAGGGCTCCTTACGGGGCCTCAAAATCTGGTCTCCCTTAGTAAAATACACTTCTGTGACTACAGTGTCCTTCATGTCCTCTGGGGCCACAACCCCTCCCTCCCAAGGGTCAGGAGTCCTCCATGGACCCGGTGCCCTCCCACCCATAAAATTCCCACCACATTTCTCTTTCCTATTCCATGGGAACACTGCCTCCCACTCACTCCTGGAGGTATGCTCCTCTTTATGGATTATGATGGATGCCTGCAGGCTTCCTCCCTGGCATCCTGGAGACACCTTGTCTTTACAAAATCTTACTCCTGTGTATACCCTGACCACAGGCATAAAGATACTGTCAGGGAGCCCTGGGAGCTCTGCGGGCTGGCAACTTGCCTGGATTTGCATCCTCTCTTCTTTGTATTAGGTGGAGCCATTTTTAATGTTACATATATGGGCGATAACTCAGAGATGGATTCCTCAGGTGTCGCAGACCCAACTTGTACACCTAATGAAATCTCTGTTAACATCTCCCATTTGATCTCCTCACCTGTTTGTGTTCAACCACCGTTTGCTTTGCTCCTTGCTAATTTCTTGGATGACCCAGGGGATACCCTTAACTGCTCCCTCGTTAACTGCCTATTCTCAGCATGCTGGATTTTCCCTGCCTCTCTTGTTCTCTTTGTGCATGAACCTGCAGAAATCTGGGTTCCCATTCCCAATGCTTCTCACTTCCATGTTATCACCCTCATGGAATAGATGGCTCTCCAACCTTTCTCCCAGATCAAGAGAGATTTTGGTATTACCATGGTGATTGTCAATGTCATTATCCTTTCCTTAGGGGCTGATGCCACTGCTGCTGTTGCTTTCACTCAATCTTCCACTACTGTGGAAATACTCAATGAGGTTGTATCCAAAACCACTGTGGAATTACACACTCAATCTCATTAATCAACACTTCTTCCAGGCTGTTTCTGTCATCCAACAACAGATAGACCTCCTCAGGGAGGAGATGGCGATCATCAAACAAATGACGCTAATGGCCTGTGACCCATGGTTCAAAGCCCTGTGTCTCACACCTTACAAGTAGATAATCTCACTAGGGCCAGGATGCCAGGATAGAACTCTCACAGTACCTCCACGGCCACTGGAGCCAAAAGTTTCTCAACTACTCCACCTTGATCACTGACCAGATCATCTCCCTAAATTATACATGGGCTCTGATATTAGATACAAACTCTGGGTTCCTCAACAAACTTTGGTCGAACTTAAAAGCTTTGTTTGACCCTTCATGGATTGTTATTTATTCTTGGGTGTCATAGTCTTAGTTCTTTTCTTGCTCATAAAATGCTTCATTCTACGCTTATGCAGACAAAACCAAGTAAATTACTTGGTGTATCCAGTTCTCAAGACACTTGAGGATCCAGACTTTGACTCCCCCATGAGGTCTGGCAGGTCTGGCTTGCTGATATCCAAGAAGTGGTTGTATAACTTCTTGCCCTCCTCCTCCCTCACATGGTCATGCCAGAGGTCACACCCTTCGAGGGCTGGTAGTCTATGCACAGTCCATCAAGCTGGGTGCCCTTTGAGGTGGGGTCAACTATGTCGAGGCAAAGAACCTCGGCTCCCACTTACCTTTCTATAATAAAAAGGGATGGATATGTAGGAGGTGAAGCGCCAGACCTAAGCACAGGCCG